CGGCTATGAAATATCGACAGATGATAAAAATAAGTTACTCTGTTGGTGGTCCACGGAAATGTTGCTATAATCCCGTGATTCACGAAAACGCACGCAATATTTTTTACCAAATTAATAATTTTTACTTTCATACAAGAGACTGAAACACCTGATATTGCGTGACCATGTCGTGACCGGATACTTCCGTATCTTTATAATTTCTTTTTATCAATATTGAAACAACCTCTGGGTTGATCTAAGTCAGGGCATGGCTAACTCACAGATCGAACCCTGAAACAACCTCTGGGCTGATCTAAGTCAGGGCACGGCTAAGTCACAGAGAATAGAAATTTAGCAAGTAAGGTTTTTGCGGAGGGAGGAAAACCATAAATTTCAGAAAAAACATCGAATTTGTATTTGATGACGAGTCCAGGTATTGAATCCAAGATCCAAGAGGTGAGTGTGCTTTCACTACGCCACCCTTGATACCTACAAAATATAGTCTGCCACTGAGATATCGATATTGAGYGGTAGTGACTGAAATGTCATCACTGATTGGTTAACTTTTCCACTTGATAAAAAATGTAATTAAAATACTAAATCTCTTTACCTTGGACATAATTATAATGTATTCCCATTTCAGGCCATGTGTCATTCCTTTGAAAGTAGGATTTTTTGTTTGAGTCATATCCATATATTCATGTGTCTTCTCATGGGCAACCGTTAAACAAAGAATTAATACTCTAGGGAATGACACATTGCGCTCAAGCTAAAGAGGTGTATTGGTTAAATTTCATGAGATAAAGCACGCGATATCATGAAACAGCAACAACCGTGGACCGCAAAGTTATAACAATAATAATAATAATTTCTAAATATTTTTATCTGACAAGTGGTCCATCTGCTGTCTTGGTTGGTGTTGAGCATGAGGACGAACGAGCTATTCTCTTGTTCATTGTACTATCGACATCAGCCAATCAGTTCTGATCTTGATTTTGGGCACTGTTAAAGACAAGTAAACAAYTCCATTAGTTTTTTCTCTTTCAAATTTTTTTTGTTTCCATGACACAATAATTATTTTGGGCTTCAAACACGGAYGTTTCACTAGTATACACTTCGAGGATCCCTTTTGGTAGCTTGTTTGTTGTGCTTATTTTTAGTATTGTCYATGTTTGGTATGAACTACTTTGACGATGAGGCGGCCATCTTGGATTGCAAAGCATTATGGGCCATTCAGGGGGCAAATGAATCTTTGTTACAGTATTGATATTAACAGCTCACCACAAGAGAATACAATGAAAGATGAATTTAGATGGCACATCCATCACCTTTACCAATAAAAAAGACAAACACATGAAACTCTAGATATTATCTGTCATTATTTTGTGTTTTGTTTTGCCCCCTGACAAGATGGCCACCATATCGTCAAAGAAGTTCATTCTTCAGTGGCAGATCCAGGGGTGGTTCCATGAGTTCCCCGGAACCCCCCCTTGTGCCAGCTGATCATGTCTTTATGCTCAGTAGAATGAAATTGGAACCCCCTTTGGAAGCTCACTGTGCAAGCTTTTCTGCATGGCAGCCATTAAAATCCTGGATCTGCAGCTGCTCAAAGGACTTTTTAACATTGAGTATAAAAAGAATTGTGTTGTAGTTTAGGTATGAAATGTCATTAGGGTCTATATACACTATGGCTGTCAACATCTGACACATGAATTCAGTCTACTGTAGTTTGGGCTACCTGTGGCCACTAATCACTCCACTATGGTCTTTTTCAACCAACAAGTTCACATACCTTGTTAGCATAATGTCCTTTGTCACCACACTGTAAACAAAATAGTTAACACTTTCAATTGATACTGAGTCTAAGGTTATGTGCTAGGTAAGTTGTAAGTCGTAACATAGAAATGGCTTCTTACAAAATGGTTTATTAAATAAATTGGTTTCCCAATGAGCAGATTTCCTTGTTGTACATATACTAAATAAATGGACAAACATCGATGACTAGTGGCAAATACTATAATTATCATAACATTGAAGTGGCTTCCCACTGGTTTTTATATGATTGGGAATGTACTGTATTGACTTACAGCACCTACATGTTAAGGTACATGTAGGGCATAACCTTCAAACAGTTTTCCAGAAGCAGAMWCTGAATTGGCTTCCCACAGAATGGTGACTTACAGCACCTGCATGGGAAGGTAGGCTATAAAGTTAAAACAGTTTCTGAGGAGTAGGTTTCCTATGAGTGTGCAAATGTAAGCAGACACTGAATTGGCTTCCCACAGAATGGTGACTTACGGCACCTGCATGGGAAGGTAGCCTATAAAGTTAAGACGGTTTCTGAGGAGTAGATAAATTCCTATGAGTGTGCAAATGTAAGTTCATGACCAATGTTAATAATTAAATGTCCTAACACTTGGTTTCCCATAGAACAGGTTCAATCTTTTTGGTTTGATTCATCCAATCATACATGACAGTTTCAATAGTCAGGGTACAGATACGGTACAGAAATAACACTATCTGTTCAAACAAAGTGCGCAAGATTACAGGTCCACTATGTCACTTACGTGCCTGTTCGAAAACAATTTTT